GAAGTGTTGATTTTCTTATTTCATTCGAAGAAAATGGCGGCTGAAGTGCATCGAGAGCTCCAAAAAGTTTACGGGGATGCTGCTTTAAGTGAAACAACGTGCCGTGATTGGTTTCGTCGCTTCAAAGACGGTGATTTCGATGTTGACGACCGTCCGCGTGAAGGAAGGCCAAAAACCTTCGAAGACGCTGAATTGGAGGCATTGCTCGATGAGGATCCGTGCCAAACGCAAGAACAGCTTGCTTCAGCATTAGGAGTTACCCGCCAAGCCATTTCCAAGCGATTGCATGCGTTGGGAATGATTCAAAAGCAAGGAACTTGGGTTCCTTATGATTTGAAGCCAAGGGACGTTGAGCGTCGTTTTTTCGCCTGTGAACAACTGCTCCAGCGGCAAAAAAGGAAGGGTTTTCTTCATCACATCGTGACGGGTGATGAAAAATGGATTCATTACAGCAATCCAAAGAAAAGAAAGTCATGGGGACTGCCCGGTCATGCTTCTACGTCGTCGGCTCGGCCGAATATTCACGCTGCGAAGATTATGCTGTGTATTTGGTGGGACCAGGTCGGTATTATTTATTATGAGCTGTTGAAATCAAACGAAACCATCACTGGGGAACGGTATCGAATTCAATTGCGATTGAGCCGAGCACTACGCGAAAAACGGCTACAATACGAGCAGAGGCACGAAAAAGTGATTCTACTGCATGACAACGCTTGGCTTCATGTTGCCAAACCCGTTAAAACCTACTTGGAAACGCTCAAATGGGAAGTCCTACCCCACCCGCCATATTCCCCAGATATTGCTCCGTCCGATTATTACTTGTTCCGTTCGATGGCACTTATGCCCGATTTCTTCACCTTCAGATAACTTGCAGATAACTTTATCCTTAAGATATCTCCCAAAATCGGTTTTCTTCACCTTTGTAAAGTGTTTATCCGGCAGATAAAATTATCCTCTACTTGAAGTAGCGGATATCTGGAAGATATTGATTTCAGTGCTTTGACATAACCTAAAACATTAAAAGAGTATGTAATCGTTGCTGTCTTCATGAAAAACAGTAATGGAGTTGCTCGTGGATATTAATATTTTTAACTGTGATGATGATGATGATAATGAATTTGTGGAAA